ACAATAACCAACCTCATCAGGGATGACACCTCTTTTATGCATCAAATGCCAAAGGTCCAAAGCATCATTGAAGGCACCTTTATGACAAAAACCTTTAAGAAGAGTATTATAGGTTACAGCAGTTGGCTCAATTCCTTCTTGAAGCATCTCATCACAAAGCTTGAAAGCCTCATTCAAATGGCCTTCCCTACAGTACCCATCCATAAGAGTGTTATAACTAAAAGAATCTGGCTTTAAGTGCCAATGACTCATATGCATCACCACACTCTCTGCTTCATGGATTTGACCAACTTTGCAATACCCATTAATCAAAGAGTTGCAAACGTATATATTCATCTTCAAGTTCATCTTCAACATCTCATCTTGAATCCGTATAGCAGCATCCATTTTACCAACTTGACAATACCCATCTAGCAACACACTATAAGCATATTCATTCAAATTCATCAACTCCTCATTCATTTCTCGAAGCACCTTCTCAGCTTCCTCCACCTTGGAGCTTTTACAGTAACCCTTAATTAACAATGTAAAAGTAACTGCATTCCTCAAAATCCCCTTTTCGTACATCAACTCAAGCACACTTTTAGCTCCCTCCAAATCTCCTAAACTAACATATCCATCAATCAAACTATTGTAACTAACCACATTCAATTCAAAACCCAAGTTTTCTGCTTCCCTCATATACTCCAGAGCTATCTCCACTTTACCCTCCTTACAATAAGCATTAACCATAATGGAATGGGTAAAAACATCCGGCACAATCCCCATCCCAATCATTTGCTCGTAAACAAGCAGTGCAGTGTAGCTCTCCCCATTCTTAACCAATTTACTCAACAGAGAATTGCAGGACCTCAAACTAGGAACACGACCGTACTTCCCCATGTTATCAAACACATAGAGTGCATTCTTAGTCATGCCTTGCTCTGCATAAACTTTCAATATCATATCGAAAACAGTTGGAGAAAACGAAAATTCCTTATAAACGCTAACCAACTCATTCCAAATAACAAAAGCTGAGTAGTTGTTCTTACAGAACCCAACCAAATCGCGCAAATACGCTCTGGTTTGATCGTACATGCGAGCTCGCGACAAGATGTGGACAATCTTGCAGTACGCCTTGATGTTTGGTCTGAAATTCTGTTGCTTCAACGCTATCTGAAAGAACCCTAAGCAAGCGTCTGGATTCAGCCTCAGGTTGTGAAGAACGGAATCGAGGAGCTCATCGGAGAAGGTGAAAGAGACGCTGCGGAGCGCGTCGTATCGGCCAAGCACAAGGAGGCGGGTGATCCGGGAGAGGAGCTCGGGTCGGGTCAACTTGGATTCGTCCCGGAGCTTCCATTGGAGGGGCCGAGACAAGTGGAATGACTTGCGCGGCGGCAACGGCAGCCGGAGATGAGAGAGCCGCGAAGGAGCGCAGATTGCGTAGCGCCTGAACATTGATTGAGTGGGTTTTTCATCAAATTCATGGCTTTGGCCATAGATTTTGAATCAGAAACAGCATCTTCTGGGATTCAAGAAATGCTGGTTTTCTGTGTTCCATATTTCGATTACACTGGTTCTGGTTCTGTCCAGGGACTCTAGTGCTAGTTGCTGGGCTTTTGGCCCACTTAGGCGGCCTTTTTGAGGAGAAGGAATCCATTTAACCTTTGGAAATTTTATGGACCTTTACCATTTAAAACTGTGGCCGTTTAGCCCACTTCTTTAATTATCTGGTAAAGGTTTAAAATTGTATTTGAAATTAATGTGATGTGTTTGGGGTCTATGACTGTAATTTTTATTATATTTTATTATG